CCTGGTCAACATCATGTCGCTCGATTTCATCCAGATTCCAGTCCGATGAGAACTCGGTGTGCCCTCTAGCGATACCTGACGTATTCCTCACCGGCGGTGCAATACCAGCACCCCATGTAATCAGGGGCGTGCGTGTATTATCCGGATGTCCATCGCCATGACTACCCCAATCGCTCATGCCGTGATCGGCCGTGAAGATGAAGGCAGTCTTGTCGTCGGCATAGAAATCTTCGATAAGTTGCGTGATTCTCTGCACCCCTCGGTCCACAATTTGTAGATTATGTAGGTACTGCCATGAGTACGGTCTGTGGATATGGCCCGTCGTGTCGAGTCCTAGCAGGTGCAAGAAGAATACGTTCTTCTCTTTTCGTAGCTCAGCATCCAACGTCGCATTCATTTTTGCGTCCGCAAAGAGCTTCTCAACACGCTCAAAGACCCATTCGTCCAGCGCCCAGGCGTCTTTTGACGAATCCTCGTCCTCGGCGGCGTAACAGTACGCATCCACTCTTCCTGGGACTGCTCCCGCTTCGAACATGGGAAGAATGTCGGGACTGCCCCAGCTCCATGTATGTCTACTTCGGTTGAAGACACTGTCAAAGTTGACTGGGTTGAGCTTCCATCCTGTTGTGACAGCAGAAACATCCTCGTACAAGCCTGCGATGAGTGCAACATGCCCGGGACGCGATTCCGTAGGGACACGAGTATGCGAGACACCAAAAGTGCCCTTTTCTAAAACGCGGGAGCGGAGGAACGGAGCGAGGGGGCGAGGGGTGTCTACGTCGTCTGCGAGAGCAGCTGGCGGATTGGGGTCAGGGTTGGGAAACGATTGAAATGCTTTGTCCGCGCGGAGACCATCCCCTGGAATGTGGTTAGCCTGCTAATCGCTGCATGAAGACGACGCATCTCACCGACAAAGAGTACCAATCGCTTTGCGGGAGCTTCTTGCGTCTCCACGCGGTGTTCGCGCATGCCATGGACAATAGGGCTGACAAAGTAAATTGAGAAGCAAGAATATATGTACGTCAAATGGAACACTACCGCAATAAGCAGAAATGCATACCGCCTGAATTGCGACATTGTGAATGAGTGTAGAGAAAGAAGGAGGCGCGCCTCGAGGACACGTTTTGTTGCGACGCGACCCGGTACTCAGTACTCAGATGGTTGACGCTCTACGATGTTGTCCCTGCCAAGAGTTTACGTACGTCGTCATGTAAAGGAGACAGACCCACATTGCCCCTCGTTCTTGCTGCCAGACAAATCAAACACGCATTTCACAACATGGACACTATTCGTCAATCAACCAGTCTACTGAGACTCCCCATGGCATGTGTAATCAATGGAACAGCAAGATTGGCGCTGCGTCGCCCAAATAGGAAATACCGAGCTTGAGCTCCGCATAAGCGACTGCATCTCTCCTCGTGCGGATCACTTGATTGGTATGAATGAATGCATGTCATTGCTACCAAACCTGCCACAGCAAAACCTCAAAGTATCTGGTAAAACGACCGATTGCTGCTTGTATGGGCATTTATCCATCATACACCAAGCCTCTTGTCTATTCTTCGACGTTGAAGTTTGCACCTTCCCTAAGACCCTCAACAACGAGCTCCTGGCCTTCTGCACGCTTGTAAATATCCTTGATATCATCTAGTGCCATGTTAGTATTGTTGAATTGTGTTGGAGTGACGCGCCTTACCAGTCGTTGTCTCGAAGTGGCTCGTGGCATCATAGCTCTTGGACAAGAAAATGTTGTCATTAGCACCACTCTCAATTGGCTCGTAGAGCGGGATAGCTGGTCCCATGAACTTCTCCTCAATTGATCCAAGGCGGTCAAGACCTGGCTGAAGCTCAAGGTGGTGGTTGCTGTCGCCCTCAGCAATAGTGGAAACAATGGCAATGTAGTATCCCTTGGGGCAGACGTTGTGTGCAGATGAAACGACTGCAACGTAGATATCTAGAAAAGGTGTTAGCGTTTTTCTGCAAACCAACTTTTCTTCACATACCATGCTTGCGTCCAACCTGGGACTGGGGAATAATCAGTTGGAGGGAATCAGCATCTGATGTGTTGGGAACGGGGTGGTTGAGAATGCAAATGGCCTTGAGCAGATGTCCGGTAACACGAGCCTTGCTGGGGAAGTATGAAGGGTCGGCGAGGATCTTGCCTGCCTTGGTCTCAAACTTCATACCATCGCCAGGAACGTCCTTCTCCTTCATGGTGGCCTTGATGCCAACAACCTTGCCGCCCTCGTAAATGAACTCATCTACGTCGGTGTTGAGCATGTAGGTACCACCATAAATGGCAGAGAGACGAGCGAAACCCTGAGGAAGTTCTCCGAGACCGTACAGAGGGTAGATGTATGGCGACTTTCCATATCGTGCCATGGAGTTTACATACAGCCTGATGCGCTGGATGGCATCTTCTGCTGCACCCTTCAGCTCAATGTAGTCGTCGGTTGGGTAAAGAGCCATAGAGTGGCCAACGAAATCGCGAGTGGAGGGCTCAAGACCAAACTTGTCATAGATGTCCTTCATGGTGCTGTTCTTGACGTCCATGCCTATTGTATATCAGTGATCCTGCTTCGAAAAAAAATCATTTCGTCCACAGAGAATCATACCCTTGTGTGTGGCTGGGTCATCCTCCTTGTAGCCACCAACCCACTCGAGGAAGTTCCTCGCGCGGCGCTTCTCGAAAAGACCCATAAGGGGCGATCGAAGAGCCTCCCCGGCGTCTGAGGGGACCTTGGCAATGGTCGCCTTACTGCCGTTGCCCTGCTGAACATAGCTGCCAGCAATTTGCTTGAAGTCGAGGTATTTGGTGACATCGGTAGAAACGAGGATGTTGGTCAGTTCGCCGTTGGCCATGAGAAGCTTAGGGACGAGATCGATGTTCCAGTCGTTGACGCGACCATACTTCTTCCATGGCTCGCCCTCGGTCTGACCGTATCGCTTGAAGAGCTACACAACGTGTCAGTAAGTTGAGAGTGATGGCTGTTGTCCTTGTATACATACTGCCTCGATGTTCAGCGATGCTGCCTCACTGTGTAGTGTCAGCTTTAGTTCCCCTCAACAGCGTCCACCAGCGCCACGCACCCTCCGTAGTGGTCATTGCGATCAATGTGGAGCACCTTCTTGCCCTTCACACTAAGCACACTGCAAGGATATCGTCAGTCCGTGTTCGGTTTTGCTTTTTGTCGGGTGCTTGTGTTACCCTGAAAGCACACATTCGGTGAGACCTGGGGGATGGTTAGCTGCGTTGGCCTGCGTGTTGCGTAGGCGGGGTAATGGGGAATGGCAACGCACCTGTTCCCAGGACCACGACGTCGTATTCTGGAGCAATTTCTTCCATGGCTGAATGAGGAGAGTTGTGAGGATAGGGGTGGTTTGCAGACTTGCAGTAGAAGAAGTGCACTAGAAGGCGCGTGGGTAGGTCAACTGAGGGCGGTGAGGTGGATGTGGGGTTGGAGCTCTTTGGGAAGCGCCTCGCCAATCTGGTCGAGTTGTTTGTGCTAGCACTACTTTCATAACTCAACGCGTTTGGCATATGCTACGCTAGTGCTGTTCACTATCTCACACCATGCAAGACGAAATGCAGAATAACCAGGCTGCCTTGACTGCTGGGTGAACCTTTGTTTGTAAATTTACACGGTGAACCCTTGTTCATCGCCGCCTGAGCATCTTGCATATACCCCGTACTAATCATAGTCGCATATATGTATCATCACTGTCCCCAGCATGCCAAATAAATGTGCAGAACTCGTCCGAGTGCACGCTAGCTCGGGAAATTTTGTAGCAATAAGGACATCCGGGCCGTCTTCAAACGTGCAGTATTCATCTCGACTCTGCTATCGTCTTGTCCTTCCCAGCCTCCTCGCTCGCCGAGGCAGCTTGAGCCTCATATGGTGCATCGTCAGCTTCTAGCGGGTCCTGGAGAGGTTGTCAGCACCATGCGTCGGATTACATCGAGGAGCAAACTCACATATGGCGGTTGTGTATACTGCGGGCCATCCGTCCTTGACAAATCAATGTCCGGATCACGCTGTGCCAGAGCATATGCCTCTTGGTACGCCTGGTGCCTCTCAGCCAGCGTGTCCAAGATTGCCTTCATCGTTTCCTGCACTGTCTTGTCGCGCTCTTGATTCTCATAATCGCCATAGCCGGCATTGAGGCGCTTGCGCTCAATCTTCTCCGTCGCAAGGCGATTCCGCTCCTTGACGCATACCCACCACAGCTGGTGGAGGGCGTCCCAATCTCGACTACGCAGCTCGCCGACAGTCCACGCTCTGCCTGTATCCCCGTCAGCTACCGCCTCACTCACCACGAAGCCAACTGCTGCATACCATGCCTCTGCTCGTCCACTGGTGTCTGCAGCAGCTTTTGGTCCTTGAAGAACCCCCACAGTCCATGATCTGGGGTACCGGTAACTTTGTGTTCGATTGGTACCGGCTTTGGCAATTGCTGCTTCTCAAAATCTTTTTGCCTGACCGATAGCGTTTGGCGTGGGCGCAGGGCTGTCGCCCTCACTGCAGACACGCCTCTGATTTTGTTGTTGTCCCTCTTCCGCCATTGTGGTGATGTCGAAAAGCAGGCCCTGGAGCCATTGTGCGCGCATTGGGCTGAGGGAGCAAGAAATGCGAGGAGGGCGTCGGATGGCGTCGACGCCAAACCGGGTCGTAGCAGTCGTGCAGAGGGCATCGTCGGCATGGCGTTGGTGTGGGCTGTGCTTGCCGACAGATGGGCGCAGCAAAGTTGCAGCTGGAAAGTGTGACTGGGGTCTGCAGCTAGCGCGCCCACCGCCCATGGTTGGGATGGCCCAGTCAGCTGTCGGGGGTGTGATGCCCCATAGATATAAAGAGAAGCCACCCCCGCCCTCCTATTCTGCTCTTCAACAAACTTCGCGCTCATCACCCCGTGTTGGGCGCCCTCCGATAGTTTCCAATTTCATTTGACGAATTCTTCGATTTCACCAGCGGGTACCAGGACCCGCACTACAACATCTCGACATGCAATATACCTCTGCCACCATGCAGTTCGGCGTTAGCCGATCCTTCCGCCTGTTCAGGAAACCGTCTAGACACACTGTTGCCATCAAGCCTCCATGGACTACAGTCTGCTGATTGGCAACTTGGGCCTTCTTACCCCGCTTCTCAAGACAACAATCATTTGATCGACACTTCTTCCCTTTTGGCCAGTTCTTCCGCCTCGACTGGCCACCTTATCGCACCGGACGCCTCTCTTTACCCCACTGCTGACTTCAACCTCTTCCCTACTGGTGATTCGCCGTATCTTGGTCATGATTTCCAACTGTTTCCCCAAGGCCATGCTTCACTTCCTACTGCTGGAAATACTATTGATACGCTTGCTATGGCTCAACGCATGAAACTTTCCAACAACATGGATACGGCAGCGCAAATGACCAGAGGTAAGAAGAGTTGCTCTATGGTGGATTCAATGATCATCGTCTGATTTGTATAGATGGCTCTCAGTCTGATTCTTCTTGGACAAGCCACAAGGACCGGAGCTCGTCATCTCCGGAGCACATTTCTTCGTCCAAGACATGCTCTACTAAAAGCAGTCCTGTGGTACAAGAGCCCTCTTCGCGTATTGAGAAACGAAAAGCCAATACGCTTGCTGCCCGTCGTTACCGCCAGAAGCGGGTTGATCAAATGAGTACTATGGAAGCTGAACTGAAAGAGATCAAGGCCGAACGGGATGAACTCAAAGTCCGCAACGCCAGGCTTGAAGGCGAGGTGGAAACTCTCCGTGCCCTTCTTCGTGCGCAAAAGTAATGGGGCATGGGCGGACGAGCCAAAGGAGTGGGTTCTGACCTTGGGGATTAGGACATGGCCGGTTCGTGGACATTTGTAGCGTGTCTATGTGCATGTAATACAATTCAATTTTCTTTCTACGAATGCTACGAATGATTGCGAAGACTTATACTGGCGGTAGTCTTTGGTGAAATAGCCGTTGCCAGCATCATGTTCACTCATAATGACGAAGAAGAAGGGCATGGGTCCAAGAGAGACATGTTCAAGGGCACGATTGAAAATCACGGTAAGTCTAGGCAAGTTGGGCGCAGCTCAATTCGGTGGGGTAGTCATGGAACACTCAAGGCTTACGCCCTGACGTGAGGCGCTTCAATGGCACACCCAGATATGTGCACTGAATTCTCCTGTTACATACTAGGCCTATACTTACAGTGTGAGGCTTCGCTCTTGTCCATAGTCAGGCATAGTACTATATTCAGCCCCACTTGGCCGTCCAATCAGACAGCAGTATGGTGAGTCATTCTCACTCACGATGCACACAGTTAGCACTAGGCCTTAGTGGCTTGCCTTGCAGCCACATCTTCCGCCCTGCCATCTGCATATGTACATGCTCATGTTCCTGCACCTGGACACCTCCACTACACGCATATCCTGTTCGCAGTCTTGGGCTGTGCCTTGGGCCCTACAGCGACTGTGGGCATTTGACGTCACTGTCCGCCTACGCTGCACGACTTGAACCTCGGCTCCTCCGCATTCCCGTCCAAGGCACTGCGACGGCGATGATAGTTAGACCCAATTTCGGCCTAACTCTAGCGAGCTGCAAAGCTCTAGGCGACCCCGTGCCCAGTAACTTGTTCGGTCAAAGTCTGCATCACGTAACGATGTTTTGATGAGATCAATTAAACAAAGGTCCTTTCAATGTCAGACTCTGCCGCTTCCAAGTACGCATGGCGTTCTCTAGCTAAGTACTTGGCTTGATTGTCGTGGGCATCGACGAGGCATCTCTTATCTACGTACGTACGTATAAGTATAACGTGTATCACCAGTGTGCGCCCCACCCCAGTGTGCGCCCCAC